CCCCCCTGCCCCGCCCCCCCCCCCAGCCTGCCTTGACTCCTTCCTTGCTTCATCTCCTCCTCCGCCTGCCTGCCTTGCTTCTGGCTGCGCCGCCGAACGCAATCTCCTCCCCTTCCCCTCATCCGCTCCGCCGGCGCCTTCAGCACCAGCAGTTCGTTGGCCCTCTTTGTTTGCGGCCGGGCCGACGCGGACGACGTGAAGCGTTTAAAATTAGACTGGGTTTTGGGGTATATTATACTATATAATAGGGAATAGGGGGCCACCCAAATAGTGGAGGTAATTATCAAGGCCCCTATATTTTGGAGTTGGTTTTAGCTTCCACAGGGGAGGTTTGGAGCTTAAGACTTTAAGGTTTTCGGGGTTTTATCATTTGGGGTCTAAGGCTTTTTTGGGTTTAGGGTGTCAGGCATTTCTCGTTTAGGATTCGGGGTAGATTTAGGGTCTGGGGTTTAGCGTTTTGGGGTACAGGGTTCCGGGTCTCAGGGATTTGTGTTTCTATAGGGTTTAAAGGTATCAGACTGGAGGTGCAGGATGCCAGGCTTGATTTCGGGCTTTGGGGTTTGGGCTTCAGGGTGGTGCTGTATGCCCTAGCACTTACATACAACTCTAAACTACACATGAACCCAAATTCTGACTACCAATCCTATTTTGGGGGGTTCCCTATGATACCTACAGTATATAATGGGCCCCAAAACCCTATTTTAATTAAAAAGGCCTCTATAAGGGTTGAGGCTGCGGCGGCTCTGGGCTTAGTCCGAAGCTTCTTGGATCAGGCTCTGGGCTTCGTGGTTCAGGGCTACGATTAAAGAACGAGGATTCCGGGCTAATTTAGGGGCCTTGTTAATTAGAATAGGGCTTTGGGGCCCAATATATACTGTAGTTATAATAAGGAATCCCCCCCCAAAAAAAAAATATTGGTAATTATTTAGGCCACTACAGTAGAGCTTTCAGATTCTGGTCTCTGGATGCAATGGGGTCGTCGGATGGGGTGACGGCTTAGGGTCGTGCAGTCATATGTCATAGCACCTCTTCAATCTCGTCTCGCGCAGTGTCTCTGGGCTTCCCAGCAGAAGCTTGCTGCCCTTGAAGACCACGTACAGGACTGCCCCACCCCAGCGCAGCCTGAAAAGTAACAGGAACAACAAGCTGGGCACGCTAACATTAGATCTAAGCCTAAACCCTAAACCCCAAACCCTAAACCCCTAAACCCTAAACCCCTATAATCATTCGATGATTAAAGAAACACTTCGGACTTCGTACTCCTGGAAAGTCCAGGAGTCTGCTCTCCAGCGGAATAACACTTCACCTGTATGGAGGTGATGATACTTTCGGGTGAGGAGCTGGTTAGTCTGTCATGACATCGATGATGCTGATGATGATGGTGACTGAAATGATGACGACAGTGATGATGAGGTGATGAATAAGACGATGGTTAGCCTGGTGATGGTCAAGAAGGGTGATCATCATCATCATCATCAGCATCACCATCACAATCATCACCATGATCCTGCTCATGCTTCTGATGGTACAATGAGAATGACCACAACTACTAGTAGAAACACCGTCCTGCCGCCAGCCGCTGCAACAACAGCCGTGACCAGCAGCACACAAACAACGACCACCATGAGCTACGAGCAACATGGCAGGTTGCGAAGCAACCCTAACTAATGACACAAGATCAAAGAGGACACGACGTTCGACGCTCGCAAAGACACGACAATCAGTTCCGCTTGGTTTCATGACTTCACCAGGGTGCATTGCAGGCCTTCGGATTAAGTGTAGGGTACTTAATAAATAGAATAGGTTTTGGGGTTCCATATTATAATGATAGTAATTGGTCCCCAAAACCCTATTCTAATTCTGAAGGCCCCTATATTATGGCCAAAACAACAGGGGTCCAGCGAGTTGATGTGTCTGGTACCAAATGACACTGGGCAAAACCCAAACTCCCAAATCCTAAGCCTCCGTTCCCAAAGTCCGGAACCCCCCGAAATTTCAAAGTCCCCTGGCTCATCCTGAATACTAAATCCTGAACCCTAAACTCAGGGCAAATTTGAAAGTCCCCCGCCTCAACACGTTTTGGTAGGAACCCGGGATCGTCTGGTCCTGGCCGGAACATCACAGGCGCTCTTAGGTTTTACGGTGTCGGACTGAGAACTTAGACGCGGCATGGCCAGAACGGTTTGGGGTGTAGGATTTGGGCTTATGGTTGAGGATTTAGGTTCGTCTGGAAGGAGGAAACATGAGCTGCAGCAAGCGCATGACTTTTTCAGGGTTGGGTTCTACAAAGGTATACAAGAACTAATACGTGATGACTCTTCTGCGCCAAAAAACATGACAGCGTTAACGGCAGCGAAAACTCTATCTCTAAGCGCCGTATAGACCCTTCGTTTGTTGACTCCTTCTCCATGCGCTCGGGCAGGCGGAGGAAGTGTGCGGCCTCCGCATGTCCACTTGCTGGGACGCGAAACTCAGCAGGTACAGCGACTGTCAACAAGAACAGCAACTTCATCATTCCGAGGGTTGTAGTTTCCCACGCAGAAGTTTCAGAACATCCCGCACCAGGTGACATTTAACGCCTGCCCAAGGTTCTACATGTAAGAGTACACCCACCTCATGTAAGCAGCACAGCGCTACACTGCACTGCATAAGCACTGTCATCTGCACAAGGAGGCCTTCGCCCAGCCGCTGGACTGCTCATCCTGTGGAAGGGTTAGGCGCTGAGGCTCGTGACTGCGACGGAGAGATACCGCATCGGTAACGGTGATGATGATGGTGATGATGAAGACGACCATGACGGTGGTGATGAAGTTGGCAATGGCGATGACCAGGACGATGCCTTGCAACGATGACTATGAGCATCAGCAGGTTGAATTGATATAATGACGACGAATCTGTAGGTTCTGTAGGTGATGACAGATGACACTGACTATGCTGCTGTTGCTTCTGGTGGTGCTGACGAAGATGGGGCGGCATAAGGCACAAGCCCAGCATGCAAAGCGCGACCGGGGCCCGAAACTTCAAGTGCACTTGACCAGTGGTAAACTCTGAAACTCCAGAGCCCCTATCTCAAGCTCAAAAAGTTCAGGGTTTAGGGTTTAGGGTTTAGGGTTTAGGGCTAAGCCCTTGGACTTCCCTGACTTACGGTAGATAGCAAAAAAACCTGGGATATGGACACAAGGAATGGTTAGTGCTGGGATTCGCTTTGCTTGGGATGGGGATTTTGACCCGTAAACAGCAAGACTCCAGTTGAACCCAGAATGCACGAAACCCCACCAACCTGAGCTCTGAGAGCCCGAAGAAGCCTCGAACCCGACCTCCGCGCCCTTTCCCCATCAAAGACAACTCTATAAGCCCTACAAGCGCGACTGTAAAGCCTAGACCCCGAAACCCAAGACTCTAAACTCGAAGAGCTCTGAGGGGTCCAGAATGATGTGATGCGTTCCCGTCTCGAGGTCTAGGAGATCCCGAAAGGATGCCACCGCGCGACTGTGGGCCTTAGCCCAAGGCTGTTTCTTCGGTTTTTCAGACAAGGCTCTATCCCTAAACCCTAAACCCATAGTCCAAGCATTGCCTTTAATCTTCCTGCCAAAATATATTTCTTGCATTGCGGCTGTTAAACATTGAACATGACTATCACTATTGTGGCTTTTGCGAGGGATGCCCTTAGGGTCCAGGGTTTAGGACCTTGAAGTATTGGCATGTCTCACGAGTCGGGCTTTATAGACTGCTACCGGTTCAGGGTCTACGTTGTGGCTCGTGGCATAAGGGGGCCACAAGAGCCACACAAACATGCGACGCCCTCTTCCGCAATAGGGGTGCCTACAAAGAGAACACAAGAGAATACTGCAGAGCACCCCAGCCGTACGACGGAACCAGACGTGAAACCCTACTGTAGACCCTAAAGGTTTACAAGCCCTAAACCTGAAACCCTAGACCCTTAACCCCAAAACCTACGAAGCCTGAATCTGAAACCCCAAACCTCAAACCCTACAAACGCCAAACCTGAAACCCTAAACCCTAAACGCCTTAGGCTAAACCTGAAACCTACGAACTTGAAGAGGCCCCGGCCAGGCCCTCGTCGTTGGGCCAAGTTTCGAGGAAGAGTTTCTCGTAAGCCCTGGGCAGCAAGAGCTTTTAAAGCCTAAAGCGGTTTGGTTGAGGGTTTAGGGTTTCGGATTTGGGGTTCGGGGTTTAGGGCTTAGGGTTTAGGGTGTAGGACTCAGGGTGTAGGGTTCAGGGTGAGGGTTTAGGGTTTAGGACCCGAAGATTTAACCCCCATTACCGCCCCTATGCCCTAAAACCCTAAGCCCGTGCACTCCACTCTATACCCTGAACACGGTTCGGGACGGACTCCGAAATACTCGATTCCAAGATTCATGATACCATGATAACTCTGAAGTCTGAAACCTTTACGCGCACTCATAAAGACCTATACAGACCCCATAACCCCCTCGACATCTGATGACTCATCAATGTACCAACCAGGCTTTCCGAAGCTCGATCACAGTCTGCCGTGAGACTCCCCGGGTTTACAACTTAACGTCGCGCGACTGGAGGCTTGCATGTTAGGGTAGCTCTCTAAATTAGGGTCCCTTGTCAGGTCCACCCAAAAAGGACGGCGCCCTTATCAAGAGGACCCTATACTTAGAGAACTGGCCATATAATCCCATATAGCTTGCCCTGACTTGCCCGAGAGACTGAACCCGGAAGTTGACAAAGCAGGACAACAAAGCCGTCCTCACATTGCTACCTTCACCATCACGCCACAGCTTGTCAATGCCGGCCTTACTTTATAACTACCTCCATCATACTCCCCTACGTCTGCTGAGCTCACACGCATGCCCTAAAACACCAAACCCCTAAACCC